AGAAATAATATGGTCAGAGACCCTAATTAAACAAAGTATATACAAGTGAACATACAATCCTATGCCAGCCCAGGGTAGTATAGATCAAGAGGTAGTAAAAAAGATAACCTCACTCCCCCTTATAATTAAGCTTTATTGTGATCTGCTATAGGGATAGGAGTATACAGTAGCTAAGTCTCTATAATCCATGCATCCTAGGAAGTATCCTGGTCACACTAGAAACATATTAAGAAAAACAGAGAGAGATAAGGACTGAAAATAGAAGTAAAAAAATCAGTCAAAAACAGACTGATAATTAGCATTAATAAAGCCTCTCTCCCTGTAAAGCTAGCTAGATAGGCATAGGAAAGAAAAGAAGAAAACGATATAAAATAAAGTTAAATTAGATGGTGATCATGGTGCTCCAAACACCAGTGCCCAGTGCAGAAAAAACGCCCAACGTACGTTTCGGTGCAGACGAAGGTGCATCTTTCTGCACCGAAACGTACGTTGGGCCATGATCACCATCTAATTTAACTTTATTTTATATCGTTTTCTTCTTTTCTTTCCTATGCCTATCTAGCTAGCTTTACAGGGAGAGAGGCTTTATTAATGCTAATTATCAGTCTGTTTTTGACTGATTTTTTTACTTCTATTTTCAGTCCTTATCTCTCTCTGTTTTTCTTAATAAAGGGTCACTCGATTGAGGGACTAAGGGACACCGCCGCTACGATTACACTGGTCCAGAGCAATTGCTTCCAGAACACAAGAGATCGGGAGAAACTGTGGCAGTTAGAGTGGCGGGGGATTGTAACGGATCACCTGGCACCCCGACTGGGTACTTCCTTTGAAGGATGCTCCTAGCGCTTCCTGAGGACTCCAAGCACTGCAGCAGACACCACAACCACCGAACCGGAGAAGCATTGGAATGCTCTCAAGCATATGAATGCTGTAAGCAGCTGAACAGGAACAAACATATGTAATCATCCAAATTGGTCCATTGGTTCAAAAGATAGATCGAAGTCCTAATGAAGCATGGCTTTTCTGCCCAAAACCAGTTCCACAGAGTCTTCTATCCTGGAGATAATTGAGAAGTAATCCAATTATCTCCAAGGAAAGAGGCAAAACTCCATTAAGAACATGACAGTAAAAAGACAGTAAAATACAATAAAATACACAAGGTTACATTTATTACATAAAATACAGACATGCAACATATCCCCAGATAGCTTAGGTCTGAGCACACATTATTACTGAATGGCGATCAGACCACACACATACAGTTCAATTGCCATGGAGCCAAAGTCTTTTATTACATGAATAGGCTCCAAGGCATAGCTATCTGGGTTAAATTAGTTCATTCAGTAAATCCGAGAATCTACCGAACAACAGGGCAGAAATACATGAATAGACCTTTCTGCATAGGAAAATAAAGTATTTAAATGCCGGTCCATAGTCAAAAGGCAGCAGGCAGGCAACCAGGCTCCTCCAGTGCACAGTGGCGAGGTTAATTCCACCACAGGGCTGTATACAAAATTCCTACCGCCAAAGTACATCTGGATTGGGGAACGGGAAAAGGGACCGTGAACGTAGGCACAATGGAAAATTTGCCCGCTGGGTAACGATTTGGGTCCTATGACTTCTGCCTATGCTCCAGTCTATAACAAGGAGGCAAATCCTGTGACTACTCAGGCACAAGCACAGATGCAGCGAGAACCCTCACCAGTGCGGGAGAGACAGGTAAGATTCACACTGACCGGGACTGATCCGTTAGGTCCCATACCCTGGGACACCCCCACCACATTCGAGACTGAGTCTAAGACAGACTCGACTTTACAAAAATAACGAGAATTGGCAGAGACAGTAGGGGGTGGACTAGATAATGAAACCTTTCAATGGGAGAAGGGAAAACTGTATTGGCTAACTGAGAAACGGGTACAACACAGACAACAGCTCCTAGTACCCCACAAATACCAACAAGAAATATTAAAAATAGGACATGACATACCCTTAGCTGGCCACCTGGCTGTGACCCGTACCCTACACCACATTACTCACACTTTTTTCTGGCCAGGGGTACACACTGATGTTAGGACCTATTGCAACACATGCGATGTGTGTCAGCGAGTAGGGAGGAGAGGCGACCATCCTAAGGCACACCTGGTGAATATGCCCATTGTAGACGAGCCGTTCAGCAGGGTGGCCATAGAATTAGTGGGGTCACTGGCTACCTCTAGTCCCTCCGGTAAGCGCTACATTCTTACCGTAGTGGACTACGTTACTAGGTACCCAGAAGCCATGGCCCTATCTAACATTCAAGCAGATACGGTAGCCAATGCACTAGTACATGTGTTCTCGCGAGTAGGATTCCCCAAAGAAATCCTATCAGATCGAGGTACACAATTTACAGCTGAATTAACGCAGCAACTCTGGCAGGTTTGTTAGATTAAGTCACTTATAAGCTCCCCCTACCACCCTGAGATGAACGGGCTTTGCGAAAGGTTCAACGGGATCCTTAAACAAATGCTCAAAACCTCAAAACCTTCACCCAGGAGTATAGAGACTGGGAACGCTTCCTACCCCACCTCCTGCTCGCTTATCGGGAGGTGCCCCTGGAAACGACAGGATTCTCTCCCTTCCAGCTGCTCTATGGCCGCAAGGTATGGGGACCCCTAAACCTGATCCGAGAGCACAGGAAAATGTGACAGCAGTCTGCTGCCCACCCCATTAAGATCCAGACAGCCTACCGATCCCCGACCTACTAGAACGAGGGCCCCACTCAGATATAATAACCCAGGTCAAGGTAGGGGATCGACTTAGTATCACTGAGAGGGAGCAACTTAACCAACTGCTTTAAGCTAAAAATATCGCTTTCTCCCAAAAACCTGAGTACACTACCCTGACCACCCACCAGGTAGATACTCCGGGACAATTTCCCCTAAGACAGGCCCCCATCGGATCACAGAGGCCGTTTAGACAGAAATGAATAAGGAGATCAATGAAATGCTTCAGCTAAGGGTTATTGAGCCTTCCGATAGTCCATGGGCTTCCCCAGTAGTCCTAGTACCCAAGAAAGATGGGACTACCCGATTCTGTGTGGATTATCGGAAACTCAATGTGTGGATTATCTTATGCCCAGGGTA